AGCTGCCAAAAATACTATTACAAAAGCTCAAAGATATCCAGAAGCAATTTCCAAACAAGCAGAATCATATATTATATTTCCATATACCCTTAACAGTGTGCAAGGATAAGAGTGGCTCCATAATGGCGTTATAAATACAGCAAATTAATGGTGGATGCAATGCCAACACCTTGTCATTATGCAAATTGGAACATCGGCAGAAATGGTTATTCAACAACCCCTTTCTAAGTAACCAGACGCCTAATGCTGCTCATTACATCTAAACTAATTAACACCACATTTAAACAATTTTAATAAGCTTTTTCCTTAACCCCTTGACAGAGGGGATTCCTGATGCTAATGCAAAAACATACAAGCACTTGGCACTGGAGCAGTGGAGGTTTGCTGAAGGTGCTGGCAGGCAGAAAAGCAAGGGGAAGTCTACCCAAAAAGCCAAATGACAATAATTAAGTCATGGACATTTAGGGATGGAGGAATATTGCACTGGAATAAAGTCCAGCTCAGTTTGCCCAGGCTCTGGTGCAGCCTTGTCATGAGCACAAACACACTGTGCCCTCCTCCCAGTGTGGCAGAGCCTGGTCCCCCACTGCCCTCCTGAGCTGGTACTACATTTAGGCTCTGTACTACCCAGACCTAGCTGGTAGGAAAGGCTCAATGAAAACATGAATCTATTTTTTTCTCCACTCTGAGCTTCGAAGAAGAGGAAGAGGAGGAAAGCATCAACTCAGAAACCAGAGTAATTAATAGATCTCTCTCCTTTTCCTTCAGGGACAGCATCCAACTCCCACAGCTGGAAGAACAATGACTTTGTCCCAGGGGTCACAATTTGTCCAGCTGCCAGGCAGATCCAGCTCTCATCCACATGTATTTTTGAGGGGATATGCTGAGTTTTGGGATGCTTAGCACCTCTCCCAGCTGAAGGGGTCACCAATGCTGCTGGATGGGGAGGGCCCAGATTGGTCTCGATCTGGGGCTGCTGCTCTGAGGCCTTTCCCACCCTCTTTCTTAGCACCTCCACTTTGTCTTGAAGGATTTTGTAATAGGACCTTCACCACATCCATTAAGAGGGATGGTCCTATGGCTCTGAATGTACCAGCAGGCTCTAATTTCCCTCACCACCTTTCACCTTCCTGTGTGATCCTCCTGGGTGTCCCCACCCCACACCCTGGCAGGTGTCTGAGCTCTGGGCTGATGTGGCACAGCTGCAGCCCCTTGGCTCCACGGCACCAGCTAAGCTGGGAGAGACCTACCCAGGGCCTCCACCTCGTACCCTCCAGCTGGTTGCAGGGGAACTGCATTTAGGTGGGGTCTCTTTCCTGAGCTGTGGTGCTTGTTCTGTGCTTGGCTGTGTAGCTGACTGACCCTCACCCTAATTTCCATCGCTGACTTGGCTCCAGACCTGCCTTTTTTCTTGGTGGACCTTCAGGTAACTGTGACTGGTGGCTGACTCTTATACTGTTACCAAGATTGAGGGTTTTTGTTTGGGTGTGTGTGATGGTGCCTTGTCAGGAAGGCCATTGCCCCTTCCTGTTTTCACCTTCAGCTTCTGACTCACCCTCTCCCTGATGCCTTGAGTCTCTACTCTGTTTTTTCTCTCACCTTGCTATGGATTCACTTTCCTCTGCATTCCCAGCACTGTGGAGTTTTCCTTGGGCACTGCTTGGAGCAGAACTTTCATGTTTGCAGATGGAAATTCAAGTGTTTTTTTCACCCATGAGCAGAATGGTGTTAATTGTTTGGGGTATATTTAAATGTAGCTGTCCCACTGCATGCCAGAACAGACATATGGAGAAATTGCTCGCCAGTAATTACCAGCATAACACCCTTCTCTCAGGTTTTGGTGTCCAAGAGGTCCTGAGGAATGATGTAGCTGGTGACAGTATCTATGAGGGAGCTCTCCCTGAATCCATGAAGCTCAGTAGTGTTTTAAATGGCAGGTGTCAAGGGAATAAGAATCCAGATCCAGCCCTCCCTGCCTCAGTCTGGGGTCTGTCATCTCCAAGGCTCTCTTTTATCCTTTATTTAGTTTTCTATGTGAAGCATTTTTAGCTCCACTGTGGTTCAGTTTCAGTTCCCATGTGAAAACAGGAGATGTGAAATGTCTCCTACCAGCTCCCTTCCATTTAAATTGCCAGTGGCTTGGGCTGTCCCTGAGACAGGACATGGGACTGTCACCTCTGAGGCCAAGAAGGGACCTGAACTGCACCTCCTGAACATGTGCTCCAGCAGGAGAGCTGTTGGGTGCATTATGACTTCCACTGCCTGTTTAAAATCAGTGACTTTGTTAAAGGTGTGTGTTTGGGGGGTGTGAGGCATCCCAAAAGGTTTTAAACATCTGATTTTCATCACTGAAGTACTGCTGTAACATCCAGACGCCCTTACCTTCTCTGATGCATAACCTACAGAGACATTTGTATCACCTCCATGATTAAAAGCATGAATGTGTTTAATAGCACTGATAAGCTCCACACACAGTTGCACCACAGCCAGGCATTTGCAGAGCATGAGACACCACCAGATGGCTCATCTGCCTCTGCTGAACTGCTGTGATACACACTGAATTGGGTTTTTCCTGGCTGGCTCCTGAGACTGAATACTTCCTGCTGCTGGCTAGAGGCTCCTTGTAACTAGGAACACCCTTACTGTCCATTTCCACAGCCACTTTAAATGGAACAGGTTCATTTTTTGTTTTCTGCAAAAGAAAGATGTTTTTTCCTTCAGTAATGTCTGCTTTGATTCACTGATGCCTTCCCCAGCATGCAAACTGTTCTGTGTGGTGTGATCCACTGTTCATGCAGAACTGCTTACAAATCCCATGTCTCTTTTGCTTACAAAAACCCAAAACCCCAGATAAATCTTTTAAATGTAATTTCTAAGATCCTCTAAGGGTTACAGTTTTCTAATAGAAATTTTCAGCCAGACATGTGTTGTTAAAGCCAAGCCTCAAGTAAGTTTAGAGAAAACGAAATCACAAGGTATTGTACAAAAGATGAGTATGGACTCCTCATCCCTGCAACCTCAGAGGGCATGTGCTGAAGGATTGCTTTATTCAGAAGCTCCATACCAAGTTCACTTATGTCACTAAGCACTTTGTATTAGAGGACCAGACCCTTCATTCCAATTTTAAACAGCACCAAATCCATACATGCCAGAGTCTTTTTCCTTCAGCCTTTCACTTCCCAGATGCAACCATATTCTCAGGTAAGAATAACCATGGAGGAGTCTTTGCTTTCGCTTCTTGTTTTACCACTGAAACAGCCCTAGTTAAAGAAGGATGACTTAGATGCATCAGCACAGCCACAAGTCCCTTTGGACACGCAGTGTTCAACCTGCATTACAACTATTCACCTCAACAACACTCCAAGGGCCAAATCATCCCAAGGTGTTCAGATACCTGGGAATCACACATGGTATCCCCAGTGGGCAGAAGTACAACTGCAAAGGTGTCCCAGTTAGAAAGACAAAAACACACACGGAGATTATGTGAATGATACTTGTATTTATTTTTTTCCCCAGAAGCCCTGAGCACAGGAAAAGTCCCAGTAGAAATGTTGCACAATCAGTTGAGCAATTAAGATGTTTGCAGAACTGGAGAGCTCAGAGACCTCAAATTTGTAAACTGCTGTTAAGTGACACACAAGAAGTGTGATGTATCTAAAAAGCAGATTGTTCTGTTTCGAACTTAAAAGGATTTCTATCTAGTGAAGGTAAACTGGATCTTTGGAGATCAATGCCTTTTTTTTTTCCTCCAGCTACACCCAGGAAGAGGAGAAAGCTCCCCCAAACCCTGTTGATTATGTCTGACTAGATCTAATGAGAATGCTTAAGCGACAAAATTCAACACCTGTTGTGTGTACATATGCTGAGTTGCTCTTGTAGAGAAATAACCGGATTAAAAGAGGCAATAATTAACACGGGAGGGGAAGGGTTTGTCAAACATCAGACCAGCAGAAGATATACGCTGGCAAGAGGCCAGGCTAACAAAAAGGCAGTGCTACAGGGGATGTGTGATCAACACATTCTCCTATGAAGGGTCAATGGTTTGTCTTGCTTCAAGACAGAAAGAGGAAGGAAAAATTTGTATCCAACTGAGTATATTCCTTACCTGACAAGGGAACTTCTTACAACAAAAAATTTAAAAAAGGCAGAAACAAAAAGAAAAGTAGAAGAGCTTTAGAAAAAGTCATTGCTGGCCATCAACCTGGCCCAAAGTCCAGGTACCTGTGTCTGAGTCACTTGCCAGGAAACCTTAATTCTGCAAATTCTCTTTCTGCATGAAAGAGGCACTCAAGGAAAACACTCTTCTTTCATGTGTGTGTGCTTTTAATAAGGTAAGGTGGAAAGCATATAGTGACACAATAGGAAGAAGCAGATTGGACAACTGAGTCCAGAGAGGAAGTTTTAGCTCACAATTCTAGAACTGACATGACTGAGTAGCATCACAGAATCACACAATGATTTGGGTTGGAAGGGATCTTAAAGATCATCTTGTTCCAAACCCCCTGCCTTGGGAAGGGACACCTTCCACTTGACCAGGTTGCTCATAATGGAGCGTTACCTACTAACCACACTTCTTTTTTTTTCCCCCTCAGACTTCTACCACTTCTATTTTCAATCTCAGTCCCTGGGCTTTTTATGAAAGGCCCAAAACAGGAACTCTATGGGTTAAAGTGCATCTACTGTTTGCTGGAAACTTTCTAGTGTTGACATTTGCTGCTTAAACCAGCAAAGAAGGGTTAAGTGTCACTAGAAAATACAAACTGCCCACTCTTGTCACAGGGAACAGAGAAAACAGAATTTATAATTGAACACCTTCAGCCTTTGCAGGCTCAAGGATCTCTGGAATAGTGGCACAGTGACCCCTGTGGCTCTTTGGAATGTTAATCACCACGTGTCCGTTTCTTCTGGACTGTTTGGGGATTGAAGCATCCAATGACCAGGATTACATTCAAATGTGTGGGATTTTGTTGTTTTTGGTTTTGTGTGGTCTTTTTTTTATATTTTTTCCTGTGTGACTTTGTCCTTAATAGGAAATCAAATCAATTCAGAAGCTGATTCAACTGACTTGATGATGAACTTGGTTTGTCCTTACCTACATTTTCATCTGAAGTCTTCACTGTTGCATTAGCAAGACTCATAGCAGAAGTGGCTTTGCTTTCCAGTGCAGTAGATAATATTTGAAATTTTGGCTTTTTATTATTTTCAGTAGTTCAAAAGTACATCAACCTGTGCTAAAGAACAAAATGTCTTCCAAACTGCAGAGCTCTTACAAGATAAACTACCCAGATTCAGCATTAATTGCTTTCTAAGCAACACTTGTGCAAGTCAGAAGGTATTTGGCAGAACTTTAAATTAGCTTTTGTCTGAGGTGGCCAGAAACTACACTGAGTTGTTAAAATTTTCTCCATTTTTAATTCTTGTAGTCTGCATGAGGTAACACCTCCAGCAGGTGAGTGACTAAGACAGAGCTATAGAATCCATTCCATTTTGTATTCAGTATTTCATTGAAGACTTTTGCAGTTCACTTTGAAATTGATTTTCAGACACTGTCCTCATGGCTCTCTGGATTTCCTTCACCCTTAAAGCTGTATGAAATCTTGCAAGAGCACCACTGGTCAATGTTTCATTCATTCTCCTTAAGACATGACTGGAGCCAGCACAGCAAGTCTGGGAGGTCTGGTTAAGGACCCAGCCAAGAACTACAACCCACACTGGATTCTGCTGCCTGATCTCAGTATGCACATTAAATCTCTGGCATTGGAGGAGTCCAGATGCTTGTGTTTGTATCTGGATCCTCAGATACACTCTCAGGCATCAGCCCAATGTAACTGTAACTGATCCCAGCCAGGCAGTTCACCAGTACAGTGAGCTACTGGAATAATTGTTTTAAACTTCATACTTCATGCTCTTTTGATACCAGGTAAACTGGAGCACATTCTGCATATTTCTACAGACTTTTACAACATGCCTTCCAGGAGTAGTTCTGAAAGATACTGGGACATGATCCTGGGAAGTCAAGAAGCAGACCAGGATGACCTGTGTCATTTCAGCACTTCCATCTGTGCCACAGCTACCAAATTTCAATTAGCTCCTGGATTTCAGTTTGCTGAAATCAAACTCTACTCCAGAGTGGAACACATTTGGATTTTTTCAGTGTGTACACAAGAGGTTTTTAAAGGTACTGCAGGAACCACTGTGCTGCTTGCTGTGGCACAGTTTCTAGAACAGTAGGCTGAGCAAACACTCTGTGCATTACCATCTGTGGTAGAAATCTAACTGGTTTTAAGGTATCTTTTTTTGTTCTGAAGGCATGAACATGGAGGCAAATTAAACACACATGCTGGCAAAGGAAGTATAAATTACAAGAGTCCCTTAGGAAAGAAAAAACCAACCCCCAAAACCGGAAGATTTTACCCAGAGTACAAGTCACAAAACATCTCTATTTCATGTACATTTCAAATAATTATCAACTTATTAAATGCATTCCATTCTGTACCACCACATCTTTGCCAAAATTAGTGTTCACTATCAAATAAGTTAAAATTGGAAACAATTTTAAAATGACCCCTGTAAAAATGTGCCTTGCACAGTATTTTAGTATAAACACAAATATCTTTGATCAAGGTTTTTTTGCAGTTGCACTGAAGGGCAAAGACGATGAACAGTTTAATTCAGTGCATAGTTAAACTGGTTGGCAAACTTCTCGTGCTTTCTTTGGTCCACCCGGTTCATGGCTTTCATGACCCGTTTCATGGCACCTCTGAAAGAGAAACAAAAAAATAATAACAATTATATTGAGTCTCTGCAATCTCAGAGAATGTTTATGGATGTTGGGGGGGGAAAAAAAAAAGAACCATGATTAATCACTAGCAGGCTTCTGAACACGGCATTGATGAGGCTGAACAAATTTGTCTTGTTAACTAAATTAGCTGCAGCAATATAAATAGTTTAATTCAGCAATGATTTTATTAACAGGAGTAAACAAATTCAAGTCTTTCAGTTTAATGGTTGTGCCTTCCATCCTCCCAGCATTATTTCTGATAGCCACACACAGCAAGTTTGATCTTCAAATGCACCTGACTGCTCTCAGGGAAATAATAACTAAAAGTACCTAACAGGATCTTAAAAAACTAATACTCAGAAACCCTTATGAAATCCAACCCTCAGTCTAGAATGTTTGTGTGAGGGAAGGGTTTGCTGTTCACTTCATGCAGCCATAATTCATTTAGGTTACTAAAACCCCATTTTATCAGACGTGGGCCAAGTTAAAGACTCCTTTGCTCACACAGCAGCATCCCTATTTCTGAGCAGCAACTTTTAATCCACAAGCACAACACTAGTTTGAGAAAACACCAGACAGTGTTGTGTATATCCATGCAGAGAGACAGGTTACTGCTGCAGAAGTGCCTAGAGTTTAGACAGTCAGGACAGTGGGTCCAATATCTTATAAAAAGGGGAATGGGATCTCTGCTGCCTCAGGATGGGCAAGCATTCGAGCCCCCTGTAGTGTCTGCTGTGCTTGTACAAGGCTCTGGAATGTTCTTCAGACTAAAAAAGGAAATGAAGGAATGAACTTTGGAGCTGTTAAGTTTTCTGGTGCTCTTAAAACCAGTGAGGGCTTGCCCCCTTGTTGCTGCCCTATTTACTGCCATTGTTTCCTCCCAGTAAAGGTGGTGCCCAGAGATTTCTTTTGGGAGGGACTGCTCTACTTCTCAACTGGGTAAGTGGAGAAACTTCAGTTTTTTCCCTCCACAAGCCTTTTGAGTGGAGATCACACAGCTGAGATTTTGAGGGTGAGGAAAAATGATGCCTAGACAGCACGAATAGATTGTCATAAAAGGCACAGAGAGAGTAGGTCTGTATATCCCCTGGTAAGGCAGAGGAATGGGTTCACAAATCCAGAGGAGTAAGACAGCAGAAAAAAAGGCAGCAGAAGCAGTCAAGAGAATGCTCTGTTGTGAACATCTGCCCCCTCAGAAACTCAGCACTGTTGTGCACAGCTGAGTGCATCTTGCCTTGTTCTTGCCTGGATTCTTTTTACTGATGACTTTAGTTGCCTCTGGACCAAAAGCTCAGCTATCTGAGGCTGATATTTGCAGGTGTGCTCAGATGTCACCCTGCTTCTCTGTTTATGAAGGAATTGATCTCCCAGCATATCTCCAGGTAAAGACCTGGACGTTCTGCTGACGTGGGAGGTAGAGCAGCCACGGGCTTGGTTTGAGGGACTCTGTCCCATTGAAGAACACAGCAGGGACTGATGTCTCCTTTGATTCCTACACCAGAAATGCAGTTGGCAACTTCCATCACACAAAGTGGATGTTCTCAAGTCCAGTGCTGTCAGACTCCACAGTGTCACAGTCTGCCTTTATCACTTCTGAGGACGCTGCCAGCTGTGCAGCAAAATGAAGACAAGATGTGCACCTGGTAGTGTGCCCCAGCCTTTTTCAGGATCAGACCCTCCAAGCTATTCCAGCTCTGCTCCCATGGTTATCTCCAAGAGAAGCTGATTTCAGTTTTGGCCAACTGCCCTCTGCAATGGCTTTATTTCAAAAGCCATTTTGAAACATCTGAAAACAGAGGTTTCTTCTTAATAACGCTCTAAATGGTGGGATTAAAGATTTTCTCAGCAGCAACTGCAATGAAAACCAACATTCTGAAAAAACACCTCAGGAGAGGTATACTTTAAACAAAATTCTGCCAATTAAAGTTACCAGAGTAAGGAAAATGTGGTCATGGTTTTGCACTTCAAGTATTACCTAATTGGTAGGAGAAAAGTGAGCCTTTAGCAGTGCAGAGTGGCCTTGACACTTTCATGTCATGTAGGTTTTACATTAGCACCACTGGATTGTGCGATACTGTAAATGAAAGGAGATCCCACTTTGATGATCTGTGTGCAGTTTCACTTAGCTTTATTGGCAGACTAGAGCCTGGGTTTATCACCTATACATTTCAAGTAATTTGGGGTTGTTATAAGGAGCCGAGGTTATCATCTTGTTTAGTGCTGCAAAGCATGAAACCTATTAAAAACATGACAGGTTTGATTCCCTATGCCTGGCACTAACACACACTCAAAATCATTAGCACAAACCACAGTAAACCATGACATGGAATTCTGATCATTAGAACTGTAGGTCTCTGAGTTCTAACTAAGACCAGGTGACATGAGAATTTCACAGAAAATGTGGTATTTCCATAACTAAAAGCAACATGGATTTGGCTTTGTTATTATAACCATTACATCAGAAAAGGGAAAATAAGGAGTTTAAAAAAAGTGTTGTGCCTTGGACACTGTTCAACTCACCCAGTATGTTTAGGGAATTACCCACCACTAATGATTTTATAATAATAATTTTGCTTTTTTGATTTGACAACTTTTCACTATCCTTTGACTACTTCATTTTTGACATGTGAAACTCTTAAAAAAGTTGCAGCTGCTTCCCATTTGATAAAGACCAGCGCTTGCTTAGGCAAATTTATGTTGCAGCCACATCTGAGGAAGAACAGACATCAGAAATGGCATAACAGAGTGGACACGTGGAGCTACTGTACGTTCCAAAGCCCATTCAGTGATGGTTGGTTGGCTCCCACATCCACCTGAGCTGGTGTGCCTGCTTTAAGGTTAATTAAAGTTAACTCATCTATGTCTGTGTAAGTCATGGACACACGTTGGTTTGACATGTGTGAATGCCAACCCCACACAAAGAGTTTCTTCTCAAGCTAAATGCAGGCCAAGAGCTACTGTTTGCACATGTGCTGGGAGGAAAGGGACATGGACAGAAACAGCACCATGGAGGGAACAACACTGTGACCACATGTCTATGATACAGGGAATAATCATTCCCAAAGTCTTACACTGCAAAGAGAACTGAAAGTTCCAGCCCTTGATACTTACAGAAGACAGCAGGGGTTAAGTGAACGAGGATCTGAATATTTTTCTTAAACAGTTGAATGCACATCCTCAGTAAGGGAGGAGGAAAGTGCAATGGCAGTGTGACACTGAATAACACACAGGAAGGGATCCCTGTGTGTCCCATTGGACTGGAAGGTTCTGCATGAGGCCCAGCTAGCCCTTCAGTATAGCCAGGAGTGGGAGAAAGGAAGCCCAGCAGTAGTAGTCAAAAGTAGTCAAAAGTAGTCAAAAGTTTGGGAAGGTCTCTGAGCACATACCAGAGGCTTGAGGGCAACTGCCAAGGCACTGCTACACACCAAAAGCCAAGGGGTTTTGATGGATTCTTTTATTAACTGAAGTTCTGCTCAGGACAGTCCATCTTAGGCTTTCAAAAGGACAAACTTCATTTTCCCTCCACCTACACCACTGCAGCACATCTGATGCTGTAAGGTGTGTCACTCTGAACACATCATCCTCTTTCCAGCTCCAGTACTGTTTGCACACATAAAGTATCATCCATTTGATTAATAAACAATCATTCAGAGCAGCCAACCCAGCAATTAAAGGATTTTAAAAAAATTGAGAAAGGGTGAAAAAAGTCCTCCATAGGAAAATTTTGTAAATTACTTGAAAACCGTTCTCAAAGAAATGGTTTCTCTCTTAGTCATCAGGACCTGCTATTCTTTATCCTTCAGATACATGGAAGACATTCCTGCTCTGCAGTCAGCCAAGAAAGCTGTTTAGTAAGTGCATGTTAATGTAGAAACAGAAAATACTGTTGAAACAAACAGAAACAGTAATTTAACGGGCTCAAGAGAACATGAGCATCTTACTTATTGAAGACTTTCTTCTCAAGCCGGGAACGAGAAGTGTTCGCCTGTTGCTTCAGGTCTGTCAGATTTGGATATTTTTTCTTCTTCCCTTGCTTCTTCTGTCCTTTCCCATTATTTTTAGAGGAACCAAGATCCAGTCCTGTAGCAGCTTCAACTTCTCTCATGAATTCTGGATCCCTCCACTCTGTTTAAAAGACAAAGTATGGGCTTTGAAACTCCAAACCCAGGGAGGATTTGCAGTTCCTAAGGAACAGGTTCTTGTCACTACTGGGTGAGGGCAGAGTCACTGTGCTCTAAGTTGCACACACAAGGGAAGGGGAGGATAAAGCAGTTGGCCAAAATGACAGATCTTGATGAAAAAGCCCTGCCAGTCTGGGGTTAGTATCTATCATTGGCTGCTATGGGTTAAACTGTTCTGTAGGAAAACTTAAATCCAGTTTTAGCAGTTGCACAGTAGCAAAATTCCAAGGAAAATATTCCATGTAGGAGAGGTGACATAAATAGAGTGATTATTATTTAGAAATTGAAAATGCCAACAATGTAGCTGAGGAACTTATCTCCAGAAGTAAATTCTGAATATGCCTAAAAATAAACCTAAAAAAAATTAAATATGTCAACTTCTGAGCAGAGAAGGGGTGACAACATTGTGACTTTTTTGCATTAATAATATTTGCCTTAAAACATGAATTGGAATAAAATTCTTGAATAGGACGACACAACCCTCTTTCCATGAGCCCCATTTTACATCTAAAAAAGATACTACTTTCTAAGCATCCCACATTTCCTCAGTTTAATTATCTAAATCAAGTTTCTTCTCTTGACAATGGCACAAGTTAATTTATCTAATCAAAACCCTTTTTTACAGTTTTATCAAAACCTTAATGCTTCAGGATCCAGCCATACACTGTAAATGGTTCTGATCCTAGATGCCACCACAGGAAAAAGCATGGACAATTTAGACTGTCAACTCTTTGAGGAAGCTTTCACCTTTAGTGTAGAGTCTTGTGTATCAGAACAAGGTAACAGAGTACAAAGTAAAAGTGTGGCTGGAGGATGGACATCTGCAAGGGGGAAATTCAGGAAAATGGCATTGAATTACAAAGATTTTGAGTATGTGGGTTGAAAAAAATGTAGAAAGTACCACTTCAAAGAGAACATGGTCCAAACTTAGCATAATCTGTATTTTAACAACAGGACTTGCCACTCATTCATCATAGTTTCCTGCATGTTTGTCAGGCTCCAGAAATTGTAAGACACAAAGTGTATACCCTTATTTAACATCTTTGTAGATATAGAAAAATAAACAGTCCTAAAGGACTATACAATTTCTTTTATACACCAACATGGTCACTGAGTGTGACAAATACCAGTAACAACATTTCAGGAAGGTCAGAGGCAATGTTCTCACTTAAGAGCATGGTGTTAAGGATACCAGGGCAATTTTCCAAGGAAAAGTTAGATTTAACCTACTATCATACGTGAAAGCAAGGACTGATTAAAATCCAACACACCAAAAAGCAGGAGGAAAACGAAGCTGTTCAAGAGCTGAGCAGAAGAGGTAAAAAGGGAGAAAATGGAACACGTAAACTTGATAGATCATAAGACCTCACAGACTTTATTTTTTTTTTTTTTTGAAGTGAAGGAATACAGAACAGCACAATTCAGATACAGGAACGACTAATCCAAGATTAAGGAAAACTGTCTAAACAGTTTATCTCCCAGTAATAAGAAGGCGTCACAGTTTAGGAACCCCATGAATGGAGCAATTGTTTAAACACAACGAAAAAATGCCGGCATCCAGTAGAGATGAAATGAGCATTTGAGTAAAATGAAGGAGCAATTTAAAAGCTTTTGAGAAAAATCAATAGAATGCCAGGGAAGAGCAGGCTTTTTGAGCATTGATGGGCCCCTAAAGCTCTTCATACATTGTTACTGAGTTTAGCAGCAGGGAAAAGAAAATTACACAGTTTGCAAGGGTAGGCGGGAATCAATACTGTAGTTAGTAAAGAGATGCTATTTCACATCTGAGTGGCCAGCGGCCTGCCTGCACCAGCCTGTCCTGATACCTGTTTGTTAACAAGTCACTAAGGGCTGAAAAACCAGATACTCTTCAGGGTTGACACAAAAAATAGGCACTTAATTTGCTCCTGTGTGTGAACTATTGGAAAAGGATGAACGCCGCAGATTAGTGGGTCAGCGTAATCCCACCTGATTCACTGTTTCAGGACTGGAGAGCCCAAAGCACCATTTTGTGGACATTAGCTAGAGTTTAAAATTTTATACTAAGATAAAAAATTGCTCCATAATAACAATGACAGTGTTGCCAAAACACAGTTGTCATCACACAAACTGTATTACTTTTATATAACTGTTTCCCCCTTTTAATCACATAAAGATAAAAACAAACCTAGCATCCAGTAGGAAAGAGATACAGGAAGAATTTTGGTGCAATTTAACCCCACAATTGATCCCCAAATTTTTTTTTTCAACATTTTTCAAAATGTCATCATTAATAATTGTTGTTGTCAATCATAAGACCAAAGCACTCCCTGTACAGTGGGTTTCCACTTGCATATTTTCCATAGCAACACTGCTCAGACTTCCTTCAAGATCTTTCTAACAAAAAAAACCCCAAACCCCAAACACCAGTGCAAACCAACCAAACACACCCCTTTAAAGCACAAGCCTCAAAAAACTAAAAAACCATTTTCAAAGGTTGATGAAAATATTATAAAGCAAATATAAAACCAACGAGGCACAGGAAAAAAAGAAAGCAACAAAAAGCAGCGGATAAAAGTATTTAGTGACATCTGGTACACGTATGGCTTTAGAAACCTGGAAGGTTTTGTCCAGTAAATTAAGTGCCACAGCTTGTGCAGTATTTCCCCAGCCAGATGGGATGGACCTTTGTGTGACACCTCAGCTTAACAACCAGACTCAATAATGCAATGCCAACACTGGTTTGGGACTAACATACACATCCTTGTGGGCCAGAGGTGAGAAGCCTCTAACAACACCGAGCTGACACTGTAATAAAAATAAATACTGTGTCTAGCCTCAAGCAATGGCAATTTCACAGGGAAAAAAAGAATCAATATTTTTCAGTGCTAGTGATTTTTATACCAGAGTATTAGTTTCTAGTTCAAGATTTCAAGTACACCTACTAGTTTAACTTGCTAGTTTTAGTTTGTCATAACCAAGCTGGGAACTTTCCTTTTCAACACAATATCCACACTCCTGCCCTGGTTTTGCTGTGACAGTCCAACAGTGTCCATGCTCTTGGCTGGATGCCAGTTTAAAACACTTACTCTACCAGGACAGGGATGGAAACCACCTGGAAAAATAGCACTTTGGCACCTGCAAATAGCAGGTGGTGTTCAGTAACTGCTGCACTGGTGTGGTGCTCTAATGGCCAAGCACAGTCACTCAAAGATGGCCAAACCAGTACTAAAGGACACTAAAGGGTGGGTCAGTTGTGTGTTTAAATGCACATTAATTCGACATGGACCTTTCTGAATACAGATCAGAAGAGGTTTTATTGAAGGTTCAGTAGCTTCGATAATAATATGTATAACTCTGAAACACTGAGTCAGTCAGACCTCAAGTGAGAACTAACTCCTTCAAGGGAGTATTCTATAAGAAATCAAAATGCAAATGCCCATGGGTGAGTTTAATTAGAATGCAGAATACTTACCTAGAATAAATAGTTTAAAACAGAGAAAAGTAAGTCCTGCTGCAAGAAGGAAGATTAAAGAAAAGCTCTGAAAACAAATCTGTCCCCTCCAATTATACACTGTGTCTTTGCTGGACAGATCCCTCTCTCCTGTCTTCCTTTGCAGTCTATCAACTTCCAGTGCCTTTCTTGTTGCAGTCCCCCAGGTATCTTCTGTCTATCATTAATGAGGTTTAGTTGTACTATTGCAACAAAGTCTCTTATTCCCCCTGGAAGTCCTCCTGCCCAGGTACTCATTGCCTGCTGTTCTTCTCATTCCCTGCACTCCTTACCTAGCAGTCCAGAGCTGCACTCTGCCTAAAAATGCTCAAATAATAACCTTGGGGAAGGATGAGCCTTCCCCTCTACACCAGAAAGCTGCAGCCAAAATGCAAGGAGAAGGCCACTAATTTTTTTGCCCATCCACAATTGGTTAAAATCAAAATCCGGAGTATTGCACAGTAACATGCAAACGATTAGACAGCACAGCTCTGCTTGCTGCCTTCCTCAAGCCCATCACAAATATCCCTACCAGAACTTGCAGAATAGTTATTATGCCAATAAAGTAAAGCCCAAGGCGAGCACTTCTCTAGCTCAGAAGATTTTCTAGCAATGCTGCCCAGACGCACAGCATAACAAGGCCAAAAGTTCTCCTTCTAAAACACAAATAGTAAGTCAGTAGATATGGGAAATATAGACAATGAAAGATATGAACAGATACAGGAAAAACAAGTTCTCACATTGTGACAAAACATATCCTCTCCCAGTATTCGTGGGAACACAATGATCCCGATAATATCATCATTATATTGCATAAATCACCACTGCTAGGTACCAGCAACATTAGACGACTTCTTTTCAGAAGCATGGAACAGTTACTGTCAAGCATCTCCCGGGGAATAGGTTTAATCACCCTTGATAAACATGTTCCTTAAAGACAAAGGCTATAACTCCTCTGTCTGAGCAGTGTTGGGAACATTATAGTAACTACTGGAAATAAAGCACAAATGCAATGTTAACCTTATTTTGTGTACACATGTATCCATGTTCATCATATGAGTAAATGAGCTGCAAATTAAAATCACCTGGAATGTAAATGGAAGAATGTGGTTAGGAGTGAAGGAGGTAACAGGTATCTCCCACCTCTGCCTAATACTTTTTTTAATTTTAATTTTTTTTAAGATGCTATGCAGACACAGACCTGGCTGGGCCGCTTGCTTCTCAAACTTCATCTTTTCTTCTCTGGCTCTGTCCTCTGCATTCACAGGAATCCCAGAGTCATCCCGAGGAATTATCTTTCCATGGAAAGGGCACTTGAGAAAGAATGAGGAAAAAAAAAAAACCCACAAAACTTTTGAATGAAAAGAAAATGCTTACATTTTATTCAACACAACTTAAAGCCGGACACTGGAACTGAGCAACAAAACTACACTTGATTCCCAGTCCCCCTTAGAAAACATTAGAATCCCATAAACATCATGTGTTTAATATGTTCAAAATCTCAAAGAAATTAGGTCTGTTTGATACAAATATCCTGTTTCAAGAGACCAGGTAGCACATCCTGTCAAGTCTGGAAGTAGGGCACCAATGGTGCATCGTTTATGCTAATCCCATTTAAATTACTTCCGTGCATTCAGATCCTTCAGTCTCAGATAATACAGGAAAAACAGGGATACTAGAAGTATTTAAGCAAACCAGTTCCGCTCAACAAAACTCATAATTTTGAGGCTGTGTAGAATTTAGCTTTCATAAAACTCAATTTGTAAATAAAATTTCTTTGCCCCTCAAACACGTAAGTTTCTAAAGCCAGTTAATATCAAATACACCCTAAATGAGGAAAAATTTTCAGCAAAAAAATACCTATTTCTGCCTTTCTGCCAGGTACTCAGACATCACAGTAACAAACAAAATACAAATAACCTATAATGAATGCCAAAAACATTTAAGAGTTCTTTAAATGTTTACAGCTTCTTTACCAAAAGGCTGTTTCCCACATGAAGCAAATATTAACAATGAACTTCTCCAGACACAGTGTTCTTCCACTCCCTTGAGCTATATTTACAGCATGAAATAAACTTTTATGTGTATGTTTTAAGGAGATCTCCTTCAGATAGCACAGATCTTGGAAGTTATGTAACTGGATGCCTACCTTAACCCGATCTTGCCTTTCACACAGACTCCCATCGGGCATTGGTGCCCGACACTTATGTTTCACTGGCTCGAACTTGCCAGCGAATGTTATGTATCTAGTTTTTAACATTTCCGTTATTTCTTTGTTTTCCACCTCTTCCTCTACTTCACTGGGTGCCCAAAATCGATGCTCAGATGTAAATCTGGGAAAACAACAAATGAAAATTATCCACAAAGTTGTAAGAAAGCACATAAAGGTGTCAGTATCAACCTGTGCTGAACTCACACGTGAAAGGAAGGGAAGCTTTATTAGTGAATTTAAAAAACCTCTACGACTCTACTAGTCTTTCTTATGACTCCTATATTATGAAGATGCTTTCAAAATATCACCAAAGTCTCTCTAGTATTGATTTCCTGTTTAACCTGCTAAGCTATTACAAGTACTTAGCTTTAGTTCATGATCAGACATCCAGAGTCAGTTATCCGATATCCGGATTCAGTGAATAGCTTTGTAATTCTGTAGTTAACATTCTTCATAACAAAATACTTCTATGATTAAACACAAGACAGATCAAGGAGGAAACAGCTGGATCTTAACTGTACTCCTGCAGCAGCAGACAAGCAGGAGCTGAAATCAGAGTATGTTGCAATACACTGAGATCAAGGGAAAGAGCAAACAATCAGCTGAGCCTTATACAGAGTCTTTCCTCCAGGTTCTCCTTTACAGTGCCCGTAAGTCTGAGAAATTAGCAGGTGTTCTTCTAGGAAATTCAGCTAATCCATTGAAAATCTATTTTAAAATTAGACACCTTACCTATATTTACAGACACATATAGGCAAACATACAGAGAAGATCAGTGCCATGTCAGTGGACACAGAGAATGGGAAGGAAGAGCAGCAAGGACCCTTGAGTGATGTAGTATTTCCAAATTGTCTCAACAGCATTCATATAATTTCATTTTAGCCACCCTAAGCTGCCAATAGTCTGTAATGAGAAACAGGCAAGCCCAGAGGGCAAATACCCTACTCATTTTAGATGCTAATCTTCGAAGGCAATGACTGTCTCACTGATGGTAAATGTTTCTTTCTCCTAATCATGAAAAGAAATTAGGGTGACCAGCTTAAGTTTAGGTATCTAATTTTAAGATATCTGATGTTAAACAACAATAATCTCACCCAAAATTTAAGGAAATATGAATCTCAAGAGGAAAAAAGTACAGTTAAACTAAGAAAAAAAAAAATTCCAGCCTCCATGTCTGCTGCTTATTACAAGCAAAATGGAGATACCAAATGATAAATGTCTCAATAAGGACATAAAATTCACAAAGGACACTTTACAATCCCTTTCTTCTACACAGCTCTTCCACCCAATCAGTTCCAGACTTATTTGAGAGGATTTTCTCTATCCACATCCAATTCCTCTCAATCATTCATATCCTTGGATGTCATTCCTACTTCTGAGACTTTGCCTTCTGCGGACCGCAGAGCCATACATTTGTGCTCACTGGCTTCACTAGTCACACCAATCTCAATTCAGCAAAGCACATAAGCCAGCAGTTGAAAGAATTACTTGAGAGGGCCTGAAGAGTTTTGATGAATTTTATCTAAGCAAGTTTTCAGCAGATGACAAGGGGAAAAAAAAAAGTAGAGGAAAATACCTGACCTTAGCAACCTACAACATATACAGGTGCTGGTTTTACTGCAATAGCTGACCATTTAAAACTATGTAAAGAGATTAGAACCAGGTTAAAAAAGGGATTAAGCAAATTTTGAAGCATCTTCATGATTTGCCAAGTCATCAGAAAAACGTTCAACAAGTAGAACCCTTATTAAACAGACTGATTCTATCCAGTAAGTTCTTCATTGAATACACCTCATTAGTTCCAGATAAATACTAACCTGTATAAAGTACAAATAACTTCCTTCTGGTAAATTAGGACATAAAGGTAAAAGAGCTTCGTTTCCACAATTTTTGGTTATACAAAAAGTTTTCAATTACACACTTCTGCAAACTATAGCACACACAAAAAAACTCCAAGCCCTAAGAGTCTTTCTAATATGTCAGTATGACTTTAGTCCAACATTTGAATGGTACAATATTTTAGCTTCAGGAATTATATGGCAAGACAATGAATAGAAGAATGAAATAAATTTATTTTTGCTTAGTTGAATGCAATGCTGAAAACAAGACTGACTGCTAGCTCTGTGTTACTAACTCTGCAGCCACACAGAGGGGACAGCATTCCTAAAAAGACACCATGCAGGATTTTTACATGCATGGTAGTCTTGCAGAAACTCTTTGTAAAATTCTAGTGTCCTCTGGTGGTCTGAACTCCCTTCCCCCTCTAAATTATCAAATTACAGTTATATGAGAATGAAGAAGCATTTAACAGTTGTGCATGCCAACCTTTCCAATCAGGAAACAGTTCTATTTAATAATTTTTCTGTCTCACTTCCCTTAACTATGCATCCGACACATGTAAAAAAACATTACAATTATGTTTTACTCTATGTATCATTGATCAGTATTTGGGGACTGGACTTAAAAAAACCTAATTCCTACACAGATATTAATCAATATTATTGTTTCCTACAAGCATATAACTTACTTTCTCCCAGCATGACTTACAAGCAGGTGAGAGAAGAAAAAAGCAGCGGTAATTCCCAAAGTTTTCTGATTTCTTGTGGTAAGTTAAGCAACATTTTAAAAGGGCAGATACTTGTTTGAAAAAATTATGCGTGTGACAAGTAAAACATTTGTAAGATGAATCAGAAGGGGAACAGATAATCAACTAAAAGATAAAAGAGATCAACACCTCACTCACACTTATAGAGTGTTCCTGATCCAGACAAATAATAGAGGCTTTAATACATGAGGAGGAATACAAGACAAATAATGGTCAACAAAAAACTAAAAGAAAGACAAGCTACTGGAAAAATGTTGCATTCTTTCACGAAATTTATGAACATCTTAAGTCCTAAAATGATGGGAAACTTATAAAAAAATTGAATAGATGCAACCTCTAAAACCAGATGCTTACAGAGATCCTGAAGCAAGTGCAAAATGGGCTAATTCAAACAGCCTAGCCAGAGTCAGTGCTGCACCAACTATCCTACTCTGCTCCCAAGAGTAAGCTGATTCAATTCAAGGAGGAGGGTAGATTAGTTTAGAAGGTCCAAAACAGTCTGCTGACAGCAGACTCTATACAATACATTGTGCTGTATACACTACCCACCTCCCAAAAAAAAAGAAACATAAAGTACTACTACAGTTTCATAAACTCATTTTAAGAGTTCTTAAACTAGTTTAATGAGTTGTGTGAGTGAAGGCAGAAGTAGGGAAAATTGTTCACCCCAAACTTTTGTCGAGCTCACAGTTACTGTCACTTTCTAGAGAAGGTGATGGATCACCATTTACCAGCTAAACAAAACTTCTTAGGAAATCATCTTCCTGGTAGTTACATTCTCACTATCAAAATCTTAATTTATTGTAAATGCTATGACTAAGTAAGTATACTACTAAGGAAGTGAAGTGGAAAGACTTTTCCCCTTCAAATTTAAAAAATTCAAATTCCATACACATCCCATACGTGTTGTCTGTTTTCCAGTTTGCTTTTTTTCCCTAAGCATCTTATAGAGCCAGTATGTGTGCATATAGAAAAGGTAAAGGAGTTGGCCAATAACTACCTTAATTTCTCAATAAATATATTTTATACCCAGGGTCAATGGTATTGTGTGTGCAGAGTTACTTAAATTATCCTTAGTTAGATTGGCATATCTGTAGTTATAGACTATAAGGTTCAGAAGTGTGCCCTCTATTTTATTGGGAAGCATAAAAATAAAACAGTACAGCACAAAGCAGACAGGCAGTGAAATATGCTTCTGATTTCACTTATGACTTGAGTAACTCATCTGCAATGTAAAAATAAGGCCTTACTACCTTTTTGGCATTATCACAGACAAATGCTTCTTAAAGCCCTGCTGAAAATCTTAAGCATTTTACAGGCTTTGAAGAGCCTAAACCACATGAGATGGAACCCAAAGCTTGGAGTGACTGTGGCAAAGCACTGTTACCTATCCAAGTGCACCAGTTTTCACTAATTTAAAGGATACCCAGCATTTTATGCAATCTGGTACAGGGGTAAAGCTTTCCCTTCGTTCTGTTCTGCCAACATTATCTTAACTCTGTGATCATGGGTTGGTTTTCTCAATTTGTTTTGGTAAGAAAACAAACTAAGGTACAGTAATACTGCTAAGAATATAAGAGCTTGATTTGCAACCCAGCCAGTCAAATGATTTTTGACTTTTTCAAGCCAGGTATGGTACACACTGCTAGTAAAGTTCTGGTGGACTTAAAGGAAACTTATACATAAAGGGAAGACTTTGCATCCCAACTTTCATTTAAAAATACTAAAAGGGGTTTATAACTGACTCCTAGAAACAAGTTCTGATGGATATCTACCAGCTCTTCTCCCCAGCATTGCTGAAGCTTTCCCTAAGTCAGCACTGACTTGTGAAACACAAAACCTTCCCAGACAAGAATGGCAAGTGAAAGATCCTAATTCAAATCCTCTAACTGCCACCTTTTTCTTTTGAGACTGAATAAGCATATCAATTTCCTCAGCTACCACTCTGTAAAGTCAGGAAAAATACCCCTGACACCTCCCCAGCCTTTCTCCTGCCTTGCCTGCTACTTATTTAGACAGCAAAGTCTCCAGTTGAGAGAATGTCTATCATGCAGTTGGGCAGAGCACTTTGCATAATGAGGTGCCAACTTAAATTGGAGTAACTGATTCCATGCTGCAGACATGAAAAGAGCAGAAAAAAAAGTGTGCTTTGAAGCATCAAAGGATATTTAATTAGTATCACATCTTCTCAAAACAAATAACATTTAGAGGTAGAATTTCTGACTTTGTTTATGGGTCCTACAACACAAGGGAAAGGAGAAAAGTAATTATCAAAAGAAATAGCAGTCACCCCACTGCATGACCTCTGAGTACAAGTAAATCTATTTATTTGTTTAATTTGTCTTAAAAGAAAAAGAGCATTACTTGATAATCTTCCCAGCACTTGGTTGATCCTCTCCCCAGTAGTGAAGATCTAATCCAAAAGGCATGAGGGGAGCTTTAGCTCTTTCTTCCTCTAGTTTTCTTCTCTTACCGTCAGGATCTTCCAAGGCTGCTGCCTCAGGAGTTGCAGATTCACTGGAGAAAATTGATGAAAAGTCAATACAGAAAACAGCAACGATCACAACAACTTGTCATCTGTTTTCATTAGATTTTTCAGATGACCAACACTAATATTACCTTAGATCTAGGCAGGAGCTACAGATGTGGTACTGGAAATCATTTTTATAAAGAACTTACTGTGGTAAATTTATGCCCATGTTTGCATGGCAGTGACACAGATTGCAAAGTCTTTCTTTTGTTGACAAAATTCCACCTTGCAATATACTCACCATGCAACAGTACTACAGAATTCATTAGTCTTACTGACAGAGCTTCACAGTCTTAGTCACCATACTGAAACACTAAATTTTTGAAGATTAAAAGTCATAATGTGCACCTGAATACTCCAAACTCTGGAGTTCTAATGAAGCAAGCCCCTTTCTCAGATTACATTCCAGTTTGCTAGGTTTTGGGTGCTTTCCTGGCCAATGCAGAAGTGCCTTTCCAGGAATATGCCATTAAGTAGGTGATTCCCAGTTTTATCCCCAAATCCCAGATAAATGCTAGGCAAGGCTGGAGGTCTACCAAAATTTGAATAGGACTGACAACAAATACGAGCCACTGTAACACACCTCCAGGTAGCACTGACAGCTAAAGTCATTGGGGAATCAAGAGATGGTCGAAACTAGTTGCTAATTTAGTATTAGGATACGTTCTGTTTGACTGCAAACAAAAAACCACCTGAATAAATAGGGAATGATTTTTTGTTAGCAAAGAAGGGAACAGTATATTTTCATAAAAGCCATTTGCACCAAATAAAAGCTAAATTAATTGGAAAGTAAAAGACTCCTTAAGATCCTGGTGTAATTATCAGCAAAATCCCAAATATTAAGCAATGAATGTAACTTCAAACTGAAACCAAGACAGCTTTAGCAGCTTGCCTAGTACATGAATGCTTTTCTGTGTGCTGTCGTGACTAATAAACACCAGAGCAAAGAGGATTCTACAAGAATTAAACCAAAGCTAACCTGGTGTGAGGAGGTGGTAACTTTGGCAGTTTGTCTCTAATAAGTCTCAGTGTGGCAGCTGCACAGGTTGGATCAAGTTCATCTTCGTTCCCTTTGGGCTGCGTGCGGGAGCTCAGTGGAGCTGGTCCTGCTGACACCTTCCCCACTGGAGCTTTTGGAGGTGACTGGGGTTCTAGCCCTGCAAAAAAATTTGATGTTTAGGAGTGACTCACTTCTCCCACCCTCACAGTGGGACCAAGCAGCCCAGGGTGCTGATTACATGTCTTACAGCTTTCAGTTTGCGTTAGACATCAATCCCACTCTGTGATATTTCTGCCTGTGAAATTTTTCTTATTTTGGAACAGATATATACTGAGTAACCACAGCAAACCAACTTTTAAATTTGTATGACATGATGTGACAACAAAGAATGATGTTACTTCACTCACCTTGGAAAGCAGGATTTTACAGTACGTGTTTGCCCAAACTGTAATACTGCTTTTTGTATTTAAGTTTCCAGTGTCACATCTGCTTGTTGGTACGTCATTTCTGTACTCAGGGTTATATGAAGGTAAAATAGAAGAAAGGAACTACTGGCACTACTGTTTAACACCTAGAGCCCCAAAAGACATCTAAGAGTAGGAGAAAGAAAAAAAAAGCCACACATCCATATCCTCCTGTCTGCTAAGATTAATTCTTTGTGGTGTCTTAGCAAAAAATCCTGCTGAAACTGTTCCATCCTGGCAAGGAGAAGCCACATCTGGGTGGGGATTCACTGCAACACAGGACTGATAAGAAGGGGAACCATCATCACCCAGAACAGCTGGCTGGGAAGCACATCCAACGAAAAAAACAAAGCATGTGTGAGGCACACCCCTGCTCTTTGACGAATCTCAGTTACCGTGTGGAGAATGTAAAACAAAACAGCCTTTTCTTCTTCCTGATTTGTTAAGGGGCAGCACCACTGAGTTGAGTTTCAATTCCTAAATATAACTGCAAACGGAATTATCCAGAGAACATTCTTCTTTCACAGATACTAAACACACAATTTGCCAAGAGGAAACATCCAAGTGCTGGCAGAAGCAGCAAGGACACCCCCAGAGTGTGCTCCAGAGACAGTAAAGGCCTGAGCTACACCTGAGGAACAAGCCCCTCTGCAGGGCAGCACCAGGCACTGATGTTCAGCACCAGCAGTTTAATTACTGTGGGGCAACTTAATTACTTTATACAGCCAGATTAGAGAGTCAGCATGGGCTGTAAGGATGCAGTGAGGTAGGCCGAGCAGTTAGACAGCACTTGCCTCTACCTGCTGAGCCAGAGAAGCAGCTCTATTAGCCAGGAGTGGAAACAAGAACTTTTCAGCCAATGACAGCTAAAACTGGAAAGACAAGATCCCTCACACTAATGTAACAGACTGTATTTGTCTCCTCAGAAAGCCTTCTTATAAAATAATTTATTGAAATGCAAGGTCTCATCCCTCAAAGAAACCCCCTCTAAATTAATACAAGAAAGTCATGGTTTCACAAAACTAAAGTTTTTAGCAAATTATCTCAGCCTTCTTATGAAAAGCAACCAAAGTTTAACTAACATATTTTAGCCATTATTTGTCACTTTTAGTCTCTTGCCCAATTATAGCCAGTCTTGAAGCTGCATCCAGAAGTAGTCTTGTTTTGCTAGTCATTAAATGTATCACAAGACATCAAGTAGAAAAGGAAAAGCAAATGTGATATCCAAGACCTGCCCTCTGAGCCGGAAATTGCAAGACCCGTAGTGGCAGGTGGCTCTGGTACACAAAATATTTTCATTTCAGAGAAAAACAGATTTTTCACAAACCAAATTAGAAAAATTTACCCTGACCCCTCTTTCCACCTTTTAAAGTGTCCCAGTAATTCATTCTGACCTTGATTCATTTGCACCACTCATTCCCTTTAGCCTATGGAGTGCAACCTATGGCATTGCTGACTCAAGTCACAGGTCAAGGTGCTGAGGCATCAACCATCAAGATCCACCCCCGGCTACATATGGGTCTACATTTTCCAAGTACCAAGATCAGGAACTGAGTCCTTGTGCAGGGAATGACATCTCATCTTTGTTTTCCAAAGCTCCAAGCTCAGGGCACTGAGAAGGATGCCCTGTCAGCCTCCTGTTTAACCAAGTTCCTGGACATACTCTCCCCAGAGAGAGCTGACAATCCTAATTCAAAATCCAGAGAGCTAGAGCCTTTCAGAAGGAGAGGAGAAACAAAAGCAAACATCCAGTTGGATCTGGCTTGTATGCGTGTGTAGCCTTTAAATTTTGTTGCATATAGCAAATGGTCACTTAAATAATTCCTAGATTTTCTGAATACAACTACCTCCAGAAAAAAAGTGAGTGCCCCAGAATACTCTCAAGGATGAGGACTCTTCTCAGACCATCTGAGATCCCAAGTCTGTCTCTAGTATGGCTTCTACTGGTAACAATGAAGGGAAACGTTTTAAGGGCAAGAGCAGTAATGACCATGGCACCAGATGGCTTACCTGTCTCCTTCAAAACAATGAGGGAAGGAAATAGGATCCAGAGAAGGAAAGAGGATGAGACTACTAGCCAACAGCAGTTAACAAGCTTTCATAGAGACTTCTCTGCCTTCTCTCCTTGCTCTCCCATGACAGCTCAATACATTCCTTCTGCTTACCCAGTGTATGACACAGAGAAACGTGGTCCATTTCAAGAAGATGGCTGAAGCAAGTATACAAGATGCAACCTGGGTGTGATGGTGTTTTCCCACGTCCACAGAGAGACCAGAGCCAGCTCTGGTAGGCTGATGCATCCCACCTCTCCAAACAAAAGGCTACTGGAGTATCATGTAGACACCCCCCAGGGGTGAACACACAGCTGAGAGTGGGTATTTCAGTAGCACCAGTCTGGCAGCTGTCCCAGAAAGACTTCAGCAAATACCCAACTGTCCAAACGTTCACAGGCAGGAAGGATTGCAGAGGGGACAGAAAGACATTCACCACAGTCTGAAGTCAGTGTCAAACACAGCTTTTCCCTAACTTCCTGTTCTGCTCTCTGGAAAACACCCCAAAACCAAAGCTGCATTCCTAAGGCAGTGCATCTGCAAAGACAGTGCTGCTCAAGCTGTCCAGTGGTTCCTGGGAACTGAAGTCAGCATGAACTGTGAGGCAAAGAGGGATCACCCCTTTCTAATTTTTATGTCCTCAGACTGGAGGTTAGACCCTGCCTCCCAGCTGTAGGCAGCCACAGCCCACCCTGCTGTTGGCTGGTGATGCTGCTGAGCACCCCTAACACTACTACCCCCTTACTCAGTCCTGCCCACTCCACACACTCCTGTGAAAGCTATGAACACATCACATTCACCATGTTATGCAACTTCCTCTCCAAAGTCAACAAGGCTTTAAAGAACATTGTTAAAAAGTAATTTAAAGGACTGATCTGTGCATTGGAAACAGTCTCAAAATTAGCAGAAGGACCAGGAATAAGGGAAATGATAATTAAATATAATAGGATGGATCTAAGCAGAGAAATATCTAAGCTAAATAGCAAAAGAAATTATCTCATTACACTTATTAGCCTGCAGACTTGCTCTTCAAAAGGGATAATGGTGTCTCCACAAAAATGTTCTTTTAAACAGCACTTCAGTGAAATAATAATGCAGGAATTTTGAATTTATGCCTCTGAAAAGGGGGCAGGACAGGGTTCCTTCTCAGCTCATGTCATAGGCTGGAAAGGGAAAAAGCCCCTCCAGGTGCTTTGTATCAAAGTGAAGCAGAATTAACTGAGAAGATTGCTATAACCTTACTTAAGTATCATCAGTATTTGGAAAACTTCCTTTTATGACAGAAACAAACAGGCCCTTTGGCATGAACAAGAATAACTGAGAAGAATATGTCAAAGACTGTATCTGCAGTGTAGAATTGCTTAGACTGTATTTAGAATTTTAAATTGCTTTTTTTCCTTTTTTTTTTAGGAGACTTCCTGAAAAGCATTGTTTAAAGCAACATACTGTTTAAAGCATGTGTACTATTTACAAATAGTAAAAAGTCAGAAGACAGCACGTTTGTGTCTGTCACCACACCTTTTCTCTCATCTTCAGAGAAAAATGTGCATATGTATTAAAAGTGCGTATGCAATAAAGATCTCAGAAAGATCTCAGAAACCTCTATTTTTTTTCCATTTGTTTCCTATGCTGTTTACAGAAAACATGATTGCTTGTTCACTACACTGATTTTGTTGGGGAGGAGGAGGGGAACAGCGGTGACAAGCAGTCAGCAACACACAGAAAAGGCAAGAGAGATAAATGGACAATGTGACATTTAGACAGATAAAATCACATCCAAAAGATCAATATAGGAATTCTTAAGAGTTACAAGAGCAAAATATTTTCTCATTGATTTCTTATTTTAAACCATTAACAGAAAAATAGCTAAAGGTAAATACACTACAACATCAGTAATACCACCTCCACTGTGAAGTTTTTAAAAAATATTTGTGTATGAAATTAGTTTTTGCAAACAAGATAAAGACAAGAGTCACCGTGCAGACAGCCCCAGCTGAATGGTGTCCAGTGTCAGGGTGGGGATGCTTTGTTTTGGTTTTAAGATACAGATTAAGTACAGTTTTTAAAGTAAAATTCATGTTAAGAATTCTGCCGCTCTGTGTGGTTTATTTAACACGAGTACAGTACCTGGGTTCAAACTGTTCCAATAGCAGCTCTGAGAAAGAATCATAAAAATGTTTAAAACCCCTTTTTTGTTTAAATTGACCAAATGGCACCTATTTGCCTGAAGCAATAAAGTAGACCATGTTCACAAGACAGATCGATAGAAGGAAAGAGAGAGGCTGGGGTTTCAGCTGAAGTTAGGCTGCTGAATGCTGACATTATTGATTTTAGCTAGTTCAGCTGGCCTTGTAATTAAAATGTAAATTTGAGAAAGAGATTATGTCCTGACAGAAATGGTGGGATTAGGGGCAGATAAAAGCCCCTCAGTGAAAATTCAGAGAAAGAGCAAGCACAGGTTTCCTCAGCTGTGTGGATTTAGACGAAATCTAGCTACTTCAGATTCACTTAAGTTTAATTGAAAAAACGGAGATAGAATATAAACAGGTATTATGGACTTCAACTTTCCTGAAAAAAATTTAATAATTTCTGTTTCCCATTTGTTGAATCTTAGTCAAGCCAAGAGTATGTGATTTATATTA